CTATATTTTTATCGAAGACCCTATGTTGGAAATCGTGGATGCTGCCCGGCATGCCCAAGGCTTTGTTCTCTTGTCCGCCAGCATATCCGTCCGCCGGCACCACTACCCACCCGTTCACTTGTTATTGGTTCTTTTGTCGCCCATCCATCCGCCTTTCCGCATATTCGATGTGCATTATCGGGACCGGCCGCTTGTCCGTTCCAGCCTGTTCGCTCACCTCCTGCCACTTGTTTGTTGGCATATTTGCTGTTATTGGGATGGACGTTCTCGTTGTCCGCTTTTGAAAAGCGCTTTCGACGGAAAAGGATACGAACGTCAAGGGAGTTCTAGACTGTCGGGAGTCTTTGTTCCTGTATTTCTTTTGTTGGCACCGGAGCGTAGAAGACAGTGGGAGCGCGGAAGGAAATTCGAGCATGGGAGGCAAAATTGGAGAGTCTTTGGGGAGACTATTGTTTGTTCTCTCAAAGCCTTGCAATGGGTCGGGCCTTCGTTGGGCTAGCCCGGGCTATTCGTCCGCCCGGGTCGGGCTCATTGGGCTGGGCTCACTCATGGGCTTCCTTGGGCTGGGCCGGGCTGAGGGGGGGACAAGCCCGGGCGGCCCGGCCAAGGATTAGCCTTATTTTTAAGGTTTGCATGGTGTCTCGCAATCCGTATCACTGGGGAAACGATTGTCCGAGCACATGGCTTTCTGGAAGCGTGTTACTTCAAGCGGTAAGATCCAACCCAACCATCTCTATATCTAGAATGTTTAGTGCAGAACTAATCCATATTGGATTCATGTGCTCTCAGATTGTCGCGCAGTTTGGAGGTTTGAAAGTCCAGACCTCGTCTTGCCACCCAATGAAATATCTGATCTGCGGAGCACAGGGGAAGCCTCTATAAGGGATGACTATGAACAGTATTGTTCACATGCGGAACCTGAACCTAGCGTTCAAAATCCTCTTCTGTGTGTATCTCCTCCTGAATCTCAACTTAATTGTCTTCCTGATTTTTCTTTTTCAATTGCTAATTGCCTTCCAGTTGGCGGCAGGAGAATCACCAACAAAGCGAATACCCAAAACTTGTGGCATGGGCAATTACCCTTCCATCAATTGCTGCCATGTCTTCCGAACCTGAATGCGTATTCTCAGGAGGCAAGAGGACTATTTCTGACTCCCGTCACTCTCTCAATGCTGAAACAATTGAGTCAACCGAGTGCCTCCGAAGTTTGCAGTCCATATAAAATTCACTCTTTCTATTGAAAACAATCACTACTATTTCTCACTGTGTTGTGTTCATCTCCTATTTCAAGCACCATCTGTTCTCATTGGCAATTCTGTATTTTAATCTAGTATTAATAGATCTACATTCATCTCTTTTATGGCTGTTCACCTGTGCGGGGGCCCGATGGGCTCATTGGGTTAGCCCGGGCTATACTTCCTTGGGCCTGGGCTGGGCCGGGTGGGCCCTTTTTTCGACCCGGGCTAGCCCATTGCAATGCTTGGTTCTCTCTTTTGTTAGCATGAGAGAGCACAGAGGAAATGGGAGATGGGCACGGGAGATGTTGGATACAAGTTTGCAGTGATCGTGGAAAGAAGCGATTGGAATGGCGATCTTTGTCCTTTATTTATACTCCTGTCTTTTCTGGTCAGTTAGTGTAGTTGTGGATCAGCAGAGTCGTGGAGCGAGAGACAGAGAGTCGTGGAAACAGAGCAAGTCATTGGGCGATGCCGGTGAACTTCCCCGGCTTTGGTTACACAGAGTTTTCAAAGCAAATTTAGTGATGGTTGTTTCGCTTCACTGTCGCTCGTTCAGAACTCCAGTCGCCGGATTGACGTCGCGTTTCCATTTGGGGTATGGGGGATCTTGGCACGGCAACCGGGGCCGTTTTGTAAGCAAAATTTGAAGTGCTGGATGGGACCATCACATCATACTGGCCGCAATACCACAATATCTGTCAAAGCTCGCTATTCAGCCATCTCCTTTTCGAACAAAACCTTATACCACTACAACCCCTGTCGAATTGAAACCAAATGCAACCTGTGAGGGTTGTCCTGAATACGATATGCATCGAAGCCAGGTTGGAGTTGGTTCTGCTCCCAAAGTTCCACTTCTAATGCGTGCAGTGGTTTTAGCTCTCCGTTGGCATGGAGGTTGCACCTTTAAGCAGAGTTGAATACAAGATAGGAGTAAATGAAAGAACTGCAAGTAACTTAGTCAAGCGTGCTAAGGTAATATATTTCATCAAGTGCTTAGAGTTTAATTGATTGAGAAAGTGGTTAGTGATTGAATCTAGTTACAAGCTGCTGATCCTGCAGACTTCCACGATGTTTTAGCATGCTTAGATGACAGGCACTGTGGAGGAAGACATCAGAAGACACATGAGGGTAGTGAAGAATCGCTTGCACTACGTGACCTATGACAAAAAGACGAAGATTATTGGCAGATGTCTTTCGAATATATAGCAAAGGAACTCGGAATTCAAGCTCTACAATCACCCCTCGAACAAGTATTTCATGACCAACGTGGACTGTTTAGACGGGAGGCTACTCATAATGTAGGGTTAGCACCAAGAACTAGGGCACACACATAGCCCATTAGCCTAGTATAAATAGAGAGGCACGAACAATGAAGCAACCACATCAAACCCACACATCAATTGGTAGCAACCGCATCTCTTTTTTGTCTTTTCGATACGGCTTTCCCTGTTGGGTAATTGTGCTATTTGGTGAAGCTGAGTTTGTCATAGCATCCGGCACACACCTGTACAAATCTCGAAGCCGTATTTCTTTTTGTATGTCTATGGACATTGATCAAGCACCCGGAAGCAGTACCTGGCGTGAGAAACGACCAAGCGCAAGCTCAACAGAGAGATCAGATTCGCCTACGTATAGCACACAAGGCTCGCCACACCTGAGTAAAACCACAGCTCAAGTACCAGTCTGTATTTCGCAAATGGATTCCGGACAACACACCTTCCCGGGGCCCAGTACTGGGCATCACCAACCGCTAGCAGATGAGACACAGGAGCTCGTCCGAGAGAATGAGGAACTTCGTGTGGCTGTCGCAAAACTCCAAGAACAGATGGCAAACCTCAATCACGCTAACCAGCCGCCTGTTCCTGAAGTGTCTCTCCCTTCAGCCAATCATGCAAGTCAAGTAACCCTTAATGACTGGATTTTGCGCCAGCAACTGAAGAAACATTCAATTCCGAAGTTCCTTGGTAGTATCGACCACGAAGCTGTCCTACTATGGACAGACTCAGTAACTCATTTCGCCCTACTTGCAGGATTGAATAACAATGTTACTATTACCGCCGCTTGGACAGCCGTCGCTCCTGAAGTATTATCGCGGTTTCGCTCTATGTTGGAAGCGGACTACAGCTACAATTTCGTTCCCGCAGCAGCTGACTACCCATTTTCTTGGGATGAGATTAAGGTGAAATTTGTCCATCGCTATTCTCCGGCTTTCGCCGTGGAGGCCATTTGGAATCGCCTGGAAGCTTTAAAGCGTGGAACCGGCCCTGGGGCTTTACAGAAATTTAACACCAAGTTTCTGGAGCTTGCCCGTCTAGCTGGGAAGAATAGATAAAATACTCAGCGTGGGGATCGGCTCTACATGATATATATCAAGAAAATGACTCCTCGTGAGAAGGATATCCTAAGTACAATAGCTATCTCTGCTCATCGTAGCAGCAAAACGATAACCTTAGACGACGCTATGGCTGTTACAGATGACCAAGCCGTAACTCAGGGGCTTACCGGTGGGACTACTTCTGGGGGAATGGGTAACGCACCTGCGGTGGTACCATTTACCTCGTCGGGCCACCCAACCGCCCCAGCACCTATGGACCTATCGGCTATTTCTGGTCAGATTGTATCTGGTAATCGTCGCGATCGGAATATCTGTTCTCGCTGCGGTGGAAGAGGCCACTGGTCTGCTACCTGTGGTACAAAGCGTGACTAGAGGGCTGGAGACCCAGTTAATGGGTACCGCGGACATGGAGGACCTAGTCGTGGTTCTGGTGGGTTTTCTCGTGGACGGAATCGACCTCATGGTGGAGGTTTCAATATGGTAGATGTCTACGGTGAGGCAGAGGATGCTGGTCTCAGTGATGGCGATAACGGGAGTGACAGAGATGGGAGTGAAGAAAAGCCGGCGAAAAACTAGGCTGGACTACGCCTAAGTGCAGCGTAGTCCAGATGGAGGGTCAGGTAGTAGCTAGAAAATATAAACGGGATACCTTGGGATTCTTTTATTATACTGGCAGTGTGGTGAATAGCAATTTACTTCGTTTCAACCTACCTATTCTCTCCTCTAGTCACTCAGCTTATACGCTATATGACTGTGGCGCGAGCCATAAGTTTGTTCGGAATGAGTTTATTCAGAAGATTAAGGCGGAAAATCAAAATATCAAAACGAGAAGAGGGTTTATGAAAATTAGGACAGCTAAAAGTGAGGAACGGATAGCCAGATATGAGTCTTGGCTAAGTATGGATATGGATGGGTACCAATACAGTGGGTGGTTTATTCACTATGACTTATTACAATACGATATTATTCTGGGAAAGGATTGGATGGTAACAACGCGACATTGGGTAGACCATCAAAGAAACATCTTATACATAGGGGAGGAAAAGAATAGCTAGAGTCACTCTGTTGTTGGCGTACTAGTAGATCACGGAAGAGCAGGGGAGCATCATCAGAATCAACGTCCGGGAGCTGTTGCGATTTCTGAAGCCTGCAATAGGATCCCACCACCGATAATAAGTAATGCTTTATCCCAAGAACTGAAAGACTTGATCACACGATTTAGAGAAGTATTTAAGGAACCAGAAGGGCTTCCACCTGACCACCGAGCTCCAGGCTTCCAAATTCGGCTCAAACCTGGTTCGGAGCCTCCGCACCGCGCACCGTACCGTCTAACCGTTAAGGAAAGGGATGCATACAATAAGACAATAGAGGGGCTCTTAGCCAAGCGACATATCCGCCCTTCCGCTTCACCCTATTCAGCTCCGGTGATGTTTGTACCCAAGGCTGGGAGTCTAGGAGAGCTGCGGATGGTAATCGACTACCGGGAACTTAATCGTCAGACAGTGAAGGACCGGTACTCGCTTTCTCATGGGGAGGAACTTATTGACCGTCTTCAGGGCGTAAAGGTATTCTCGAAACTCGATTTTTGGTCTGGATTTCACCAGCATCGGATGGCATCTCAGGATATCGAGAAGACGGCCTTCGTTGGCCCTGATTCACTCTACGAATAGATCGTGATGCCATTTGGTCTGTCCAATGCACCCTCGGAGTTCATGCGAGTTATGTCGAATTTGATAAAAGAGCACATAAAGGCTGGCTACTGTGTAGTGTTTATAGATGACATTCTAGTCTACTCAGTCGATACCGAGCAACATCTACACCATTTGGAGAAGGTTTTACATACGATTCAGAAAGCTGGTTACGGCTTGAAACCGGAAAAGTGCAGTTTCGGAAACGAGTCTGCAGAGTTCTTAGGCTTTGCTGTTGATGGTAAGGGAGTTCAGATGCTCCTAGAAAGGGTGGAATGGATTTGTGATTGGCCCATACCTGAATCAACAAAGCAAATGCGATCATTTGTAGGTCTCGCCAGTGTGTACAGAAAATTTATTCCGCAGTTTGCAATGATTGCATTGCCTCTGCTTGACTTAATTCCGAGAAAGAGTACAGAGTACACCCTCAAGCTCTCTGATCCAGCAAACCAAGAAAAGGTTCACCATGCAATTTCAGTAATTAAGAAGATGATAACAAGTGCGCCTGCCTTGGCTTTGCCTGAAAAAGGAAACTACGAATTCATCATCCGAACGGATGCTTCAGGTTTTGCGATAGGAGCTACTTTACGACAGTTGCAATGGGATACAGAATCGCAGTCATTTTCTAAGGAGCGTATCTTAGGCTATTACTCACGAAAGCTCTCCGGCCCAGAAACACGATACTCAACCTATGATCAAGAGGTACTAGCTGTACGTGATGCTATCGAGCATTGGCAATATTACCTACACGGTTTCCACTTTACTGTTCAAACCGATCATTCTACCCTTCAGCAAGTTTTAACACAACCGAAACTAAGCTTTAGGCAAATGGGCTTACTGGAGCGGCTTCAGGAGTACAATTTTGAAAAAGAATATTTGCCTGGCGCCCAGAACTATATCCAGGATGCCCTCAGCTGCCATCCCGACTACCAAGACACCCAGACCTCAGTACCATACCGCTCAATCCTCCCCCCATTACAGGTCACTAAACAAAGTACGAAGGTAGTGCAGGCGAGTAAGGGAAGTAACACCGTACTTGATGTAGGTACTACAGGTGATATCTTTACTACAATGACGGTCAGTGCAGATGAGTGGTTAGATGAAGTACGTCAAGGATATCGCGAGGATGAATACTTCGCTGAAGTAATGCTTGCTTTGGAAAGTGATCATACACCAGATGATGGCCTAGACAAGGCAGCACCAAATGAGGAGGGCAAGCGGTTACTGTCACCGCATTCCCACCGTATAAGAGCCAGCAAGAGGCACTACAAACTTCAATCTGACGGGCTGATAACCCATAGTAAGTCAAGAGCCTTATGTATACCAAATGTGAGGGGGTTACGGCATCGGATAATATCTGAAGCATACGATACACCAATCGGAGGTCATTTTGGAATTGAGCGTACAGCATCTGCCCTTGCACGCCGTTTCTTCTGGCCCCGAATGTATTAGGAAGTTAAGCAATATGTACGACGTTGTGCCTCCTGTCACAGAGCAAAACCTTTCAACCAAAAGCCTTATGGGCTGCTACAGCCTCTTGAGATCCCCGCTGAGCGTTGGAAGTGGATTAATATAGACTTTATTGTTAAACTTCCAATATCTTCCTCTGGTAATGACACTATTATTACGTTTATTGATGGGTTGACAAAGCGCGCTCATTGGATAGCTGCGGCGGAAAGAACTCTTACGGCAGAAAGGTTTGCGGAGATCTTTATCGACTTTTACTTTCGCCTTCACGGATTGTCAACCGATATCGTTTCTGACCGGGATGTACGTTTCACATCGGAGTGGTGGCAGCATTTAACCAAGATTTGGTAAACTAAACTTCGGATATCCACCGCTTTTCACCCTCAGACAGATGGCCAGGCTGAGAAGGCAAACTCTAGTGTAGAAAGATATCTGCGGCCCTTTGTTCAAACCCGCCCACGGGAGTGGAATCGGCTACTGGCACTAGCTGAGTTTAGTTATAATGATCATCGACATAAGTCTACAGGCCTAGCACCTTTTGAGGCAGATCTAGGCTATATTCCACGGTTGCCAATGGATATCATTGCTGAGACTCGCTCTTTGCAGCAATCCCATTCAGGCTCTCTTGCTACTAGTTTCGCAACTACTATGGCTGATATTGTTGGAAGGATGACACTGTGGGAGGATCTGAGGGATTGTCTATAGTTATGGGCTCAAGGTATACTAGATAGAATAGCTAATAGTGACTGTCATATCCGGTGAGTGACATCATGTTCTGCAAATGACTATCATATCCGGTGAGTGACATCATGTTCTGCAAATGACTATCATATCCGGTGTTAGTGTGCTCTGTAGTACACGATACGTAGCCACATCAGATGTGTATATAGTCTGCCTGTTTTCCCTCCCTCCAGAGGATGCGTTAGATAGAAAAACCATACAGTGTGAGCGAAATTTCTGAGTTCCGTGTCATTACTCTTTCAATCGTCTACTACTGCGCCATACAGACACTGCTAGTTCCAACAGATATATCATATCAGCTTCGGCAAGCCCTCCAGCACACACAAATTCAGCAACGTAAAGAGTCGAATGCTAAATGACAACCCCACACCTTTCAGACTGGCGATAAGGTGTTGATTAATACAAAAAACCTACCGCTGTCATATGGGAATGCAGCGCCAGAGGAGGGAGAGATGCCAAATCGGGCAGAGTATAGTTTACGACGAGTTCTACAGCAAAAGTACATAGGGGAGTTTACATGTTGGAAACAAAGAGGACCCAACGCTTTTGAAATTGCCGACCTGCTGGCGAACTCACGGATATCTGACATATTTAATATTGATCGGTTATGCCCATCTTTTATTGATCACTCGAGGGTTCAGGCACCACCACCACCGATCCGGGTTGTGGCCCAGCTAGGTGCTCTACTAGCTGTTGAATATGAGGTAGAGAAAATACTCGACTGGAGAAAGAATAAACAAGGAATAGTTGAATGCTTAGTTAAGTGGGTTAGGCTTAATGAGAAAGATGACCCTACTTGGGAAACACAGGCAGCCTTCATGGGAGCAAAAGAGACCTTATCGGACTACATACTAGAACCTCAAAATGATGAGCTAGCCCGCCTTCTCAACGGGCCCTGTGTGGTATCAACCGCAAGGGAGACTATCAGCCCTTCGCGCAAGAAAATCAAATCAAGAGCGAACCAACCTATTCGAAGAAGCTCCCACCTTTTGGCACTGCGTACTGATGCCGGTATTTCTAAATCCTAATACCTGATGTTCGTATTAAAAAAAAAGAAGAAAAAAAGAAAAAGAAAATTGGGCCATCCTCTTACCGTTTTCCTCTCTACTCATGTTTTACTTTGTCCTTTTTTTTCTTTTCATTTAGCTGTTTACCATTTTTGGACCGGGGGTGGATATAGGGTTAACACCAAGAACTAGGACACACACATAGCCTGTTAGCGTAGTATAAATAGAGAGACGAACAATGAAGCACATATCACATGAGCCCTTTCTTTTGCTGCAACATACAGTGTTCCCAACCGTCCCATACGGACGCCAGGGCCCTAGCGTCATAGAGTCCCATCCGTCCCGTCCGGGTGGGTAAGAACAGCGTTCCCAATGGTCGGACCGATCTGGTCTCAGGGGTTTGACTGGACTGTCAATCCCGATCAATCTGGTGGACTGGACTTGACTACCTTTGACAGTCTAGTCCAGTCTAGTCCAGTTTCTGACCAGTCCCGAAGATGAAATCTAAGAGCTTTCTGACACTGCATATGAGAAGAGAAATTGTGCGAATATAGAACTGTATTGCATGAGATTTAAATTACGTAAAATTAACAATTAGAACTATGATTATTAAGATTTATATAACAATTAGAGTAAAAGAGGAGAATTAAAGGATTTGGTAAACAGAAGGAAATTGAGGAAGAAACAAGAGGCAAGAGAAGTGTTAAGCAACTTGGAGAACAAATAAACAAAGGAGAATAAATGTAGATATAAAAAAGGAAGAAAAAATCGAGGAGGGTTTAAATGAAAAAAGGAAATTAATGAATTCGAGTAGGATTGGTGGTGTTTCAACCTGTGATATATAGTGAGAGATATCAAATTGTACTTTCAATATTTTCATTGAAGTCACCTTCCGGAAAGGTATTAAAGCAGTAAAAGTTTGATAGTAAGATTCCCTTCTTCGCCCATGACTTCAAGAATTCCAGAGCCTCCAAGGCCTCACTTTTTAGCCGGTTTCGCGTATCTTTCAAGACATGCTTTGAGCTAGAAAAGAACTGCTCAGGGTCTGCAGACAAGGCAGGTATGGAGAAGACATCAAGTGCCATGGGAGCGAGCTGGTTGGTAGACTTGGCGGAGTTCAACTAATAGCTGAAGGGAGAATCAATATCGGGTTCAGGTGGGGACTGGATATATCATGAATATGTATCTTCTGTTTTGGATAAATTAGATAAAATAAAATAATTAAAGAGATATACAGGATTACAGTTGGTGTAAAGGGAAATGTAAGCAAACCTGGGGTAACACGCTGTCATTTTGCCTGCCAGAGTCTGTGATTTTCCTCCGCTTCCTCCATTATTCCTGCTCATATACCTTCACCAGTCTCAATACCTAAAATGAGATTCCGGGAACCATATGGTTGCTACCTCTTCCACGGTACTGTTCCTCCCAGAGTAATTCCACAGTCTCCTTTGCCAACTGAACTTCCTGAATTGTCTAATCTCCATGCTTGATGCCCAGCTCGAAATAGTCCCACTTCTGGCGCGGATCGAGAACCACGGCGGCAATATACACAGGAATTTGGCAGATTTTATGACTATAAGCTTGTAATTTTGCCAAACCTAACTGGGCAGCACGGGTAAGATGGGCCTCTGGGTAGTACTTGCTAATAATATCAACATTAGTAGTCTCTGTCAGAAATAATTCACCTACTGAAAGACAGCAAAGAATAATATCTTACCGGTAAATTCCACACAGATAGTCAATTTCGGGAATTACTTCCCATAAATT